AAAGTGGAGAAGGAGTTAATATTTAATACACTCCACCTTTGGAGGTATTATGCTAGTGGATGAATTAGTGGGTGTAGGGTGGCTTGATTGAGGATTTGAGGAGATTGAGGCTGCGTGATTGAAGACTTTGGAGAATTAAAAATATTCTCCTACTCCGTAACTGATAAACTGGCTAAAACGGTACGCGCTTTTTCGCCCAAACTGTTCCGTTTTGAAAATGGATCGCGTTTTTGGAATCAGACTGTCAAAACTAAAACTTTGATATAATTAAAATATTTTTCTGAAAACTTTTATTTTTCAGTGTTCGGGTCTGTCTCAGTTGTTAATTAATATTTAAATTAATTAATTCTTTTAGGCCTAATTTCGGGGCGTTACACAACTTATAAGTATAAGATAACATTATATCAACTGATTTATAAGTTAAAAACAACTTATAAGTACGGAGAAATACTATAACTTAATAATTTGGTTTAGTATCTTTTTTTGCTCACCTTTATATTATTTTTTACTACCTCCGTCCCAAATTATTTGTCACTATTCTATTACCGAGGTAAAATATCAAGTTTTTTCAATGTATTTTATTTATATATTGGTAAAAAAATAAAAAATAAAAATTACATATCAAAAAAAACTACATGAAAAGTTTTTCGAAATAAGAGGTGTCAAGAATATTTGATTTTATCAAATAACCAATGAAAACGTAGAAATAAACAAAAGTTTCCGCGACGGTTGAAAAAGCAAATGTGGCAAATAATTTGGGACGGAGGGAGTATATAGAATGTGTCGTCGGACATTCTTTGGGTGTGATGAGTGTAAGAAACACCTCAAAAAAGAGATGGAGAGAGGTTACTACAAGACATCATCGGGTTTTATGGGTGAATATAGAGAGTAATTGGTATTCCGTATTTAGTTACTCAAAAAAGACACGGGCTAAGAATGTACATTAGAAAGATTTGTTTATAAGCATATGGTATTTAGTGCATAATGCAGAATTGCAAATATAATTTCTCTTAGGCCCCGTTTGGTACACGAAATTCAAATTATGGAATTGGAATTGAAGACTTCAATTCCAATTCTGGTGTTTGGTAGCACAAAAATTATGTGGATTTGAAATTGATAGTGCAAAAAATGAATTGGAATTGATGAATTCAATTCTATGAATTGAATCCAATGAAATTTTAATTCCAATTCAATTCCAATTCCATCAATTCCGTATACCCCTTAAAGTTTTCTCTTCTTGTGTGAATTTTTATCACATTCTTTATATTTTCGAAATATTAGGTGCTTAAAATTGCAAAAGAAGAAAATGGAAAGCTCATGCTAACAGGTAAAGGAACTAAAATTCAAGGTGAACTAACCCACCCGCCCAATCATTATTGCACATCGCTATCAATGTTCCAAGAGTTGAATCAACTACCATATTTGTTGGTGTGTATATGCCACCCAGACCATGACCCGGTCTGGTTTAGCTAGATCGGATGCTGAGTCAACATAGCAGCGGTAAAGACAATGACCCGCTCACGAGGTCAAATCTCGTCAGTGGCTAGGAAACACATCATGGTTTGAAGAATTATTCGATTAATCAAATTTGTTTTGGTTAAAATAAATTGTTGTTGGGCTTAGGGCCAAAATAAAATATATATTGAACATAATTAGGATAAATCTCATAGAGATAAATCCAACTTGATTGACTTATTGTGTGATCTTGATTGGGAACCAGAGTACAGACCCAAATCAAGGATAAATGAAGAAATTATTCTGATATGAACTTTGAATTGAATTCTTGAAATAAACCATGAGAGTAAATTAAATGAAAAAAAACCTTTTAAGATAAAGGTCAATTAAATCAATTTTGACCTCTGTAAAAGTCAAACACCCAAAAATATGATGTCGAAAAAAGTATTACAAGTAAATATATAAATTATATCGTTGAATAGAATTCGACTGTCTGATCGCAACGGTGTAAACGAATTTTAATTCGGGGAAAATTGGATCAAAAAATATAACCCGACTAGAACCAAAATTGGTCGCAATCAAGGACACTGTGCGAACGACGCCTCCCAGCGCACTAGCCGATCTCAGGATCTCAAAAACCACAATCAAGCTGTCCTCTTCCGCTCATCAACTCCTATACAAGGAATACTCAAACCTTCAAATATTCACCAAACTTTATGAAATTAGTTCCATAAGAATCTTGAGAGTGAGGGGAGTAATCTGATAGTATTAGTTGTCGTCGAGGTCGCCGAAGCAAGCCGTGGTGTTCGCTAGAAGTTTTGCCGGAAAATTTCCAAAACCTTCGTTAAGCTTCGAGGTAAGCCCGTAGATATATCTAGTGACTAGAATGTTCATATAGATTGTTTCTATGTTCATAAACGTTCATTTGGTTGAGTTTGTGTTTGACATGTTTGAAGAACCAAGAATCATAAACCTTGAAATTGTTGTTAAAACTACGAACTAATGGTACCAAAATAATCTATGAACCTTGGAGAACCTTTCTATATACTTTAATTGAAGTTTGGTGACTAAAAATGACATTTCCGAAAGTTGGCTCCAGGAAGAAGCGGACGAATAATCGATTATTGCATGAAAAATCGATTATATTTTTATTCTGGTCAGGAAATCGAACTCAGAACGCAAAATTCGATTATTTTTACACAAAAATCGATTATTGGACATGAAAAATCAATGATTACATTATTCCACTGAAGAAATTAAATTCAGTAGCAATTAATCGATTTTCCTATCATATATTAATCGATTTTTGTTCAGAATACGTAGTTTTTGAGCTATGAAATCCTATTTTTGATACCAATTGATTATGATTATTATAAGGATGATTTTCCACCATGAAAACGATGTTTTTAACATATAAAACTTTATGGGATGCATGACGGTAAGTTAGAGTGTTATCACTCGAAACTAGACCGCTACTTGTTATTGGATGTTATGTTAATTGATGACTAGGATGAATGATTATTATGGATGATTATGAATAATGAATCTACTGATTAAAATGATTAATAATGGTTGAACCATGATTAAAATGAATACATCAACAATCATGAAATGATTTACTCCCTCCATCTTAAATCAACCTTCCCACATTGACTTTTTCCAATTTTTAAGGACTTCATATTTTAACCTTTGACTTCCCATTTTGCCCCTTAGTAAAAATTTTAGGAAATTTTTTTTAAGGCTAACTAAAAAAAGGGATTGAATAAAGGAAAAAAACACACTCAAACATTTCTAAAGGAAGCAATCCACGGTACATTAAGCCCAAAAACCATAGGCATCCACTTTTACAAATTTCATGTTCAACCAAATACAACAAGGAGGAAAGTTCTAAAAATTTCCCTCCCAAACAAAAACAAAGAATCCCACCAAAGCTTATTCTATAAATAGGAGCATACTTTCCACTTTTAGAAAGGGAATCCCTAGCCTACTTTTTTTCCTCTTTAATGTCTGTTCCTGGTCCTGAACCTCCTCCTGCGTATGCTGCTGCTGCTGCCAGCATCCCAACAACTGCTGCGACCATCCCGACTGCTGCTGTGACCATCCCAGATGCTACTGCTGTCCTTTAACCAGGAAGAGATGAGGACATGCGAAGAGAACAAAGATCATGCAGGACCAGGCTATCAAACAATCAAAGGCAAAGAATCGTAGAAGGAATCCTACCATATGCCAAAAAAAATCAGGTGAATACACAGCTCAGAAAGGAATAATCAGCAAGGTTGCTGATGAATTCAATGTTTCCAGAAGAAGCATAGGAGACATATGGTGCAGAGCTAGAAAACAGTTAAAGGAGGGAGTTGCCATTGATGTCAAAGGTAAGGTGTATGGGAATACTGGTAGGAAAAGAGTGGTCATAGATGTAGAATCTATCCCAAACATTCCTCTAGCCCAAAGGACAACCATCAGATCACTAGCTGCTGCACTTGGTATGTCTAAATCTACTGTCCATCTTTGCATTAAGAGAGGTTTGCTAAGAAGTCATTCAAATGCAATTAAACCTCTTCTAACATATGGAAACAAGCTGCAAAGATTGCAGTTTTGTTTGAATCAGTTAGAACCCACAAGCATCCCTTGTAATCCCAAGTTCAGAAGTTTTCATAATGTTCTCCACATGGATGAAAAATGGTTTTTTATGTCCAAAACATCACAGAAATATTATTTGACCAACTCTAAAATGGATCCTTACAGAACTTGTAAGTCATAGAGATTTATCACTAAGGTCATGTTCTTATGTGTTGTTGGTAGACCATTATTTTCAGACAATGGAGAAGTACTGTGGGATGGGAAAATTGGAATATTTCCTTTTGTTGAGAATGTGGCAGCTAAAAGAACAGCTAAAAGAAAGAGCAAGAATAGAGAGGCTGGGTTTTTGGAAATGAAACAATTACTTAGTGTTACCAAAGAAGTGACAAAAGATATGTTAGTGAACCAAGTTATACCTGCAATCCATGAGAAATGGCCATCTTTCTTAGACAGAAGCATTGTGCTTCAGCAAGACAATGCCAGACCCCACATTTCTGGGACAAACCAAGACTTCATGACAGCAGGAAATGCAAATGGTTTCAACATTACATTAAGTAACCAACCCCCTAACTCCCCAGACCTAAATATACTTGACTTGGGGGTTTTTAGGGCCATCCAATCTCTGAAAGAGAAGTGTGCTCCAAAAAAATGTGGCAGAACTTGTGGAAGCCGTTAGGGGTGCATATGCAGCTATTACAGCAGAGACATTGAACAAGGTATGGTTAAGCTACCAAGATGTGATGCAGCAAGTTATGAATGATGAAGGAGGAAACAAGTACAAACTGCCACATATGGCCAATGATAGATTGGCTAGACAAGGAGCACTACCAGTGTATCTAAATGTACCACATACATTGGTGGAGAAGGGAGTAAGGGTCCTTGCCCAAGACCAGCCTGAGTTCATGCCTGAAGATGGAGAAGACTTCTCATCTTCAGAGATGAACTAAGTGTTTATGAAATGAACACAATCTTTTTGATTTTTGTTAATGGTTGGGTACATTCTTTTTTTGGCTTTTGATTTTTGTAAATGCATGTTATGCCTAGGCAGAAGTAGGAAAGTAAGTACTTGAGCTTTTTTTGTTTTCAACATCAAGGCAACTACTCAAATGTACTCCAATAAATTTTCTTTCACTACCACTCACAATATGTAACACTAACGACTTAGTAGAACTTTAAAAGTAAATTCAAATATCATCATTGTTATGATTATGTGTTGTGTGTGTGGGAAATATATGCACGGACTTAGAAATTCAGAGAGTAAAGACAAAGACACTTCATTTTGTATTCCTTGTGGGAGAGGAGCCTTGGAATTTGTTGGACCACACCAACCCCATGGTCAAAACCAGAGTGGCTGCCCATGTCAAAAACCAGACACACGGTCTCTGCCCTGCCCCTCCTCTGGCCCATCCTCCTACTCTTCATCTGATTCACTCCCAAATCCTCGCATGGGCTCGTCCTCCAACGAGCTTTCCTCATATTCACTATCAGCGATGACTATGCCTGGATACGGGAGAGAATCAGATTCAAATCCGTCATCATCCATCTGACTCTCTCCGTCCTCAAACTCTGAAACCTCCTTTTTTCCTTCTTGTCTTCTTCCTTCAATCCTTGAAATTGATTTTTGCTCTCACCAATTTCATAAATCTGGGATTTGGATCTCAAATCCACAGAATCCATTTGTAGGCGGAGGAGGGTATAAGGGAAGACTGATGTTAAGATGGAGAGAGGGCGATGAATTTAGAGAGGCTGAGAGAGGCGGAGAAGGAGAGACAGAGAGAGAGGGATAGATAGATCTAGGGTTTAGACAGAGGAGCCGAAGAGCGAAGAAGGAGATCGAGAAGCAGCGTGGAGGTGTATATGCAAATAGGGAAGGGCAGCTATGGCGTAAATGAGAGGGGGGGTATATTTGTCTTTACACTGCCTTTTTTTGGGTTTGGGAAGGTATTTTTAGGACGAGAAAAAAAGAGAAATAGGAAGATGGTTTTAGGACGGAGGGAGTATATTGTTATGGACATCTGGAAGAACTCTAAGATATATCCATTTAGATAATTGATGTTAAAGCTATTTAAAAGACCTCTAGAATATATCTCATGTTATTATGGATTTGTGAAACATGAATATTCGGTGATTGGATAAAAATGTAATAACAGAATTCGTAGACCAAACTGGAGAATCACTTGTTGGAAATATTGTGGCTCAATGATGATTAATCACTGTATTGTTGTAACGCCCTACAAACCGGCCTAATATTTAGCCAAAATTTTTAAATATTATTTATTTATTGAGACTCATTATTTTAAATTAATAAATATTGAGATTTTGATCATTTAAATTACTTCCAAAGTTAATGTATTTTACTTATAAGATTAATGTATTTTAATAACGGGCCTCTTAACATTAATTAATTTATTTAATTAATTAACGATTGAGATGGATTCAGAAGTTTTGGGAAAATATTTTGAAAATATCATAAATTTAGTGTTGACTGTTTATTTCTGGAAATGCAATCGGTTTTCAATACGGACCGTTCGGGGGAAAAGCGCGTATCGTTTGGGTCAGATTCTATACAATAGAGTGGAAGTTAGCGAGGTAACTCCCCAAATTGAAACCACACGCCACTACACACCCTTTACTCTCCCATAAACCCCCATTAATTACCCCTTTTAATACTCCATTAATCCTCCATCAATCCTTTTAAATATAAACTCATTCCCCTCTTCACTATCCTCACCATTTTGTAACTCCCAAACACTCACACACTCAACTCTCCCTCTCCTTTCTCTTGTTCGGCAAACAGCAAGTAGACAAGGCAAAGATTCCGGCAAGTAGACGAGGAGGAAGAAGAGAAGGAGGTGTGACGCGTGAAGCCGCTCATCCGTTCGACCGTTCATTTGTTCGTTCGTCCGTTCATTGTTCATCGTCATCCATTCGTTCATCCCGATACTTTCCGTCAATCACTGCGTTAGAGGTGAGTACGTTGCCCTTTAACTTTAGTATTCGTAGTTCAATCATATCGTTATAACATCATAGGATTACCCGGCTAAACATACGTGTCTCCACGTTATCATGACTCTTCGTTATTTGGACCTTTCGATTATGTACTGGTTGATATCCACGTTTTTGAAATCTCGTAAATTCATAGATTACTTAACATGTAAATATAAACGTTCATTTCAAAAACTTCCAACGTACTGATCATAATCAAACAGGCAAAATGAGAACTTGCATGCCTCGATAATCGATTGACAGGACCAGACAATCGATTATCAGGTCATGCTGGACTCCTCCTTCGAATCAGCAAGCGTGACAATTGATTATCACTTAGGTGATAATTGATTATCAGACTCTGCGGGTTCCTGAGCCAGAGCTGGTTCACATGACAATCGATTATCACCGAGGCATCAGTCACAGGCCTCTATGAACATGGGTTTTCTAGACAACACAACTTGACAATCGATTGGTAGAAGCTGACAATCGATTATCACAGTCTGCAGGACCTCGGGAACAGAAGCTCCACAGCATGATAATCGATTATCAACAAAGGATAATCGATTATCAGCCAGTTCTAAACCCAAGCCATCATTTTGTACAAATCATTTCATATGGAATCACACGTATATGTATGTGTTGAACTTCAAGCAATGCATCCATATCATCATGTATATCCTAGACACATGTTTAGGATCATGGCATACTTTGCATACCGCGACAAGAGGTCAGGCCCAGTGCACCTCTTCCGCGGGCCTGTCCAGGAACTTTCGGGATCCAACGGGTTTCATCAGGAGGGCTTGTGTACGTACATGGTAGCTAGGCTTAGCTATCACCCACATTCTAGGCTCCTTCTGGAGACTAAGGCATTCCTCGGCTCATCTACCGCGTGGGGATGATCACCGAAGGGCAGGGGTGTCCCTGCGCAGTCTAACTCATGTATCATGAATTATTTGGCATTGCATTATTCTATATTTTGTAACGTTTATCATTATTCATCTTGTTTATCAAACTCGTATATGGTATCTCGTACTTTAGTACATGTACAATTATGTTTATATCAATGTGAATGTATTATGCGTTCTACTGTTAGATTGCCATTCAGCTTTTGCTGAGCGTATAGCGTTGTTTTCCTTTGCTATACGCAGGTAGGCAAGATGGTCATAGAGCCTGACCCAGATGATTGGGAGATCGGGGCGGCGGATCGACGACAGTGGGAATCAGATTCAATTCCATTTAATATTTAAAACGTTTTGGGCATGAATCCATTGTTGTTGCACTTACTCTATTTATGAGTTAACTTTAAATGATTACATTTGCTTCCGCTATAAAACGTTTCTTTTAAGTGAATTTAATTTCATCATTTATTAAAATATGTCAAGAGTTTTTTTGTTACAAGCAACGCAAGGGTTTTCCTTGTAGACGGCCTTAAAAACCGTCTACGTAACCTCTCTGGATCGTTGGGCCGCGGTGAACTTGGTTCGCGGGACGGAGGGTGTTACAATTGTTGTTTGCCTTAAACTAATTAGTGTTTAAGCATCGGAGAACTATTGCCTTAAACTAATTAAAGTTTACGCGTCGGAGTGTTATTGCCTTAAACTAATTATGGTTTAAGCATCGGAGAACTGTTGCCTTAAACTAATTATAGTTTAAACGTCTGAGGATTGTTTGCCTTAAACTAATAATAGTTTAAGCGTCTGAGAATGAAATTATGATTTGGCCTTGCACTAAGAATAGCTAAGAGCATTGTTATTATCGTTGGCCTTAGACTAGAAATAGTTAAGAGCATTGTTATTATCGTTGGCCTTAGATTAAGAATAATTTAAGAGCACTGTTGAAATAATATTTGAATTGAATAAAATATGTTGATATGAACCGAATAATATCAAAACCGTAAATGTCTAGAATGAATATTGTGTGCATGATATCAAATGATTTGATTATGAATTTAGATTCAATTTATATGGATTTTCGACGCATTAGATATGCTTACTCAGCTTTACCGCTGAGTGTGTAGTGTGTTTTATTTGCTACACGCAGGTAAACAGAAAAGAACAATGTGATCCTAGTGGCAGATGGGGTGAGATTGTCGGGATGGATGTGACAAATTTTGAAATGAATTATGATATATCAATATTAAATTCGCTTCTGCAATATTGTTGAATACTCCGTACTATATATGTTATGAAAAATATTACTGTGATAAATAAAATGTGTTTGAAAAGTTTTAAATTCTTACGATTACCAAGTTAATACTTTAGTTCGAAAGGGGATGTAGACCTGGACGGATTAGGGTGTTAGAGTTGATAGACTCGATTCTTACCTTTGGGATATAGCCCATGTAGAAATCCAAGACTTGAGAAAATTACTTGTGCAACTGATTGATGACGGGCCAAGCTTGATTGGACTAGGTTTCATGTCCCAACGGTTTAAAATAGACATTTCTCGTGACACTACTTGCAAAGAGGATACATTCTAGAAAATAAAAGTAGTCATCACTTCAGTAATATTACATGGGCCTAGCACATGGCTAGGCATGGGTGCACATAACCTTATCTCTCAGTTTCTACTCTAAAATATAAATATGCTTGTAAACCCTTAGTGAAGAGGATCGAAATTCCATATCTACTGATGTTGCCACTCACAATCTTTCCCGTCATCTTGCGTTCAATGTGTTAGTTACTTTATCGACTCAACTCATCGCCCTAGACCTTGCATAGAGCTTTATTGCACCATCATTTGTATTTTCCTTAGTTCTAGGTTAGGATAGAATCGTTTTTTTTTCTTGTGGCTCTCCGTGTAACTTGTGAATTGTCTTTGTGGCTCTCCGAGGGACAAGAATGGGCAATATAATTAACATGTCACCCTTTCCGTCCAAAATATTATTTGCATTGAATTTTTTGTGAATGCTTTTAAATTTTGACTATAATATACGAAAAATTTATATTGCTTTATATATAAATTTAATATCAGTAAATTGAATTTGAAACGTAATGTTGAACTAACATTTTTCGTACTCTCTTCATCCCATAAAAAGTTTTGTGGTTTGACTTTCATGAAATTTAAGAAAATGGTTGAACAATAAAAAATGTATCACCTTGATTCCCATGACAGTGGGAACCAATGTCATTGGATGACCCGGAGTGC